CTAGGAAGCACTGGATAGCTGTTTCGATTTGGTTATGTCTCATCCGTGCACTGCGCGAATCCTTCGATCCAACTGGTGACTGCGAACCCTAGACGTCACAGGTCGAACACAACAAGCATACTACCCTCACGCGGTCACAAGACTGACCGTTTTTCATTTTTCATTTACACAATATAGTACAACCCATCTATGCAAGCGTGTTGCAGGCCACAGACCTCACTGGTCTCAGCACTAGCCTCCCGAGAGTTGGACTTGCTTGGAAACATTCCAACCCGACTTTTTGTTACATGCCATATCGCGTAAATGCAAAACGTAAAACGGCCTGACCAGTTGCCTGATGTCCGTGTGGATAACATGCTTGCGGTCGATGAATTTGCGCACAGCTGATGAGACTCAACTAAATCGAAACAGCTGTCCGGTGCTTCCCAGCCTTTCATATCACGCTTGATTTGCTCTATACACGGCGAATTCCCTCTATGAGTTAACTGAACAGGCAAGCAATTCAACCGTCTACAACAGTGCTTCCTAAACTGTTATACACTGATCCGTTTGCAATTTGGAGCACTTTGAATGCGTGGTATTATTGCAGTTCAGTGGTGCTAACGTTTTAAATTATGCATCGATTGAGGAAAGAACACTACTAGGTGAAGCAAATTGGAGAGAACAGAAGAGCATTTAGAGAAACTACCAGGTGGGATTGACGAAAAGGAAACACGCACACAATCGACTTGCCTCAAACGCGAGTAAAGCCAGCATGTGCTACAGATTATATGAAGCTGAAGTCCTAAACTAGTTTATGAAAAACGGGAGACCCTGAACTCTGAATTTCGTTCATAGTCGTCTTCTTCACAAATTTGGATGTTATCCAAGATTGAGGAAAGTGTGTTATCTGATATCATCATGACGCGATTTCCTCCCCTTAGTTGGATCTGGATGAACTGCACAGTGCTGGCATTTATGTCAGCCATGAATTACGAGTCCACTGTTCGTGTAATCCGCACTACATGTTCCACCTATTCAAGGTTTTCCCCAGATTGTACACAGTAGTTAAGTTGCTGATCTATGATCGAGCGAGCCCCGATTGCTCGGTGTTATTGAAACTGCTTTGATTCACTCGACTCGAAGTGAGTGGTTTAGTAACTTAGAAGAAAGACGTCAGGTGTTTTGGAATGCATCGAACAAGAACTCACTATCACATCGAACCCAGCTCATTGGGTTCTGTTGGTTAGGACACATTTAGCGTATGTCCGACGGTCGCCTACCGCAGCACACCTTATTCACAGTGGCTGTTGCAGACTGGAGAAAGCCACATGGAGACCAGCAGATGAGGTGGAGACGAGGTATAAAGAAATGCATGGATCGATTAAGTAGAATAGGTGTCTCTCATCTTCCGGGTTGGGATACAAAATACTCCGTAATCGCATGGATGGAGACAATGAAGGCCATGGCTGCGAACCGACAGCAAAGGTGATCTGGCTATCACTTCTTTTCAGACCGGAATGCTTGAAATAGTATGTATGCACCGTTGTACTGTGTACTTTGTGTGCTGACCCTAGAGGCTCGCTTTCTTTCCCCGTTCCTAAAAGTAAGTCCAATCCCTATCTTCCTCAAACGTTCTCACTTACTCTGCACACATTATGAGCTTAGTATCGATCAGTGAAGTTCAATTCACTGTATTACGCTGTACAATGATGA